ACGACGAACTGAATCGACAGCTACCTGAAGGCGGACTACCAAGTTTTCAGCCATGTTTCGATCAGCGTGTGGATAAAACCTGGAGCAATCCCTTAATAGACGAGAAACGGTCTCCAGAAGATCCGTTGTAGGAGACCTGTAAGAACTAGTTGACAAGATACATATCACTACAAGAGCTAGAGAGGAAGCCATGTTTGCATTGCGAAAGGCACTTTTCATTGCCACGATACATGAAACCTATTTCGTTAGAGGCACTTTTCGTTCCATCTTATACCAAGTCTGATTTCTGAACCCCGCGTATATGCACATTTTTGCATGCGTATACGTGGGCTTTGACAGGTACGCATATATACGGGTTTTAGCAACGCGTATAGACGTGCATTTGATTTTGCACATATACGCGTATTAAATACGCGTATATACGCGATATAAATGGTTGTATATGGGATAAAAGCCCATACATAGCGATTATAAACGATTATACGCGGCAAAAAAGCCCACGTACACGATGTCATAATTTTGAAACGGATGGCCAACCATATGGGAAAGGGGTTGCGATTTTAGGAGAAATAAAAAGAAAAAACCTAGGTACACTGCCCACAGTTACATGCTTTGATGGAAGAATATATACCGTGTGGCACGAAATTTTTGCGGGTTCTAATTTTTGCGATTTTTGCGATTTTTCCAGCTATCCGCAAAAATAAGTTCCCACCAATAAAAATAACCGCAAACATTTTTCCCGGAAAAATTTACTCCAGAGGAAACATCCCCTAAGTTAAATTCGCTACACAAAAATACAGTACTAAGAAATCGTGTCTGTTTAATCTCAACTTGTCTCTTTTATTCGAAAACAAAACGGTATACAAGGAAATAGTGGCTTATTGTTTGAAAATATGTATTTTCTATTGCACACACTCAATAAAAACGAAAATGTTATCAATGCTAGGTACTGTGTACTTTTTGAAAATCGCAAAATTTAATTCCCAGTAAGAAAAACAAATCTGTCCTAATCGCAAAAATTAGTTCCCCTAAAAACACAAAAAATCGCCAATCCGCAACTCCGATACCGCAAAAATTTCGTACCACACGGTAGTTGTCAAGGATAATGAACAAAAATCGCTTGCTTAATCAGCGGCTCATGAATAAGGCACCAGGTCCAATAAACCTCAATTTCAAGGGGGTAAATCGCGTACGCGTACTCGGAGCAACATTGATTTTGAAATAGAAGTTTAATAAAGTATTCTCCTGAGGAAGAAGGTAAAAATCTTAAGTGATATGGTTAGCCCGAAATGATACATGTACAGAGGTGCTTTTTTTGCGGTTAACTCCTTGGGAGCTTGGAAATGCTAAACTTTTCACCTGATCAATTCTCAAACCTTAAACTGACGTTGCTTTAAGAAGCCGCCTAGTAACAAAGAACTTAGGGTGAAAATGAAACACCTAAGATTTTTTACTTAACCAAACTCCTGGGGGAGTACTCCCATAAATTTCGGATAGGCCCCGTAAGGTATTAAACCCTGTCACAGACGAAAGCTGTCCAAAAAAAATGGCACCATATTCAAGGGAAAAATAAAAACTAAGAATTTAATGGCAGTAAATAAACTTTCATCAGATAGCTTTCTAATACGCTAAGGGATAGTTCAGTTTTAACAGATGATTTGTTTTTTATGTGGATTGGTATTTTTGCACTTGAATTTTCGCTGATACAATTTAGGTACCCTATCTAAGGATCACACTGGAAACGGGACTGGAAAGAGAACACCAAAACAAGAGGAAAAATGAAGCTTTACCCTCTCGGTCGGCATATGCCCAACTGAACCGATCTAGCCCATATATGGGATTTCCCCCACGGGAAAAAATTATTAGCCATGATATCGCTGGCCGATAAGGAATGGCCAAAACACACCCCTTTTCGATGGCCCTTGTATTTTGAGAAATTGAATGATGTCAGAAGTCTAAAATTTGGACCAATTGAGCTGAGAAGTGTGCCAGTAAAACTGAGGGCACTACTAGTCGGTACAGTATACAGAACATTTTTAGTTATGAGACAGGTTGCAGTTTCCTGAGCGACCGGTCATCAAGATAAAGCCATAAAATGTTAAAAAAGACGTAATGGTAAGCTTAAACCGTAGCAAAGTGGTCTTAGGTTAACGAACAACACTTCAAAAGAAAGCTGATAAAACATTAGTCTAATGTATTAATAAGCAAGAAATTGTTATTCGGACCCCGCTTAACAGACGTCACCCGCTTAATACGGACATCTCGTTAATACGGACAGTTAATAATGATAATAATAATAAAATATTTATATAGCGCTTATACTTTTAAGTTCTAAGCGCTTTACATTAGACAGTTCTCTTTGTCCCCGGGAAAAGAAAGCCCTGCAGTAAATTTTCTCTAAATTCAACCCGCTTAATACCCGTTACTGCGAACAACGCACACTTGTTTCTTACCTAATAAACAGATTCTCATAGAAAGACTTCACTTGACAGCATGTCGATGTTCCCAGGGCTACAGTAGCCCGCCGGATGGGATGATTTCACATGGGGCGAGGGATTTGCAGACGTCACATGATTTCGATCAGATCGCAGAGAACTGTTTCGAATGCGTCAGTATAGATGAGCGATTTTTGAGTGTTTCCGTGGATTTAGTCCTTCGAATGACGGCTTTGTGAAGGTTAGAGATTTTAAATTTGAGGATGACAAAGCTTCCATTCAAGTTTGTACCTTTTACAGGTTCTTTTATTACAGAAAATTGCTCTATTTACTACCGGTCTGCAGGTTAGGGACTGTGCAATAATTATCAGGAAGGGGGGGTCCTAAAATGAGCTTCACCAAAGGAAAAATTAGATAGGTCCCCCCCTCCAGCAGCGTCAAGATTAGCTCTGACCCCCCCTTACGTTCTCTCAAAATTATGATGTGCCCCCCGTAACCCGTACCTTTATTCACCGTACTGCAACGCATTCCACTGCGTCGTCAGGGATGAAGAGCACCTCGAAATTTTGTTCTTCATAATCGTCAATTTCCGAATCGTTTGATTGTTCATTATCTTCTTGGTCTTGGAAACTGCTAGATTGTTGTTCATCCGGGTTTTCTTTACCTTGAGCTTCCCCAGCACCTAGAACACGAGCTACGAGTGCTGCTTTCCCTCCGCTGACGGGTAAACCGTGTTCCTTTAGCATCGGCGTACGGGAAAAATTTTGTTGGGGGGGCTGAGCATAATTTGCCCGAATGAAACTTGTTGGTCACATATGCACAAGATGATTCTTTCGTGTTTTCTTCGCCGTGCCGTGAGAGTACGGGCGTTCAAAATAGTGCAAATATTTCGGTAAATCGAGATGAACATTTCTAAAATACAAAACCATGAAGTGAGAGATAAAACGTACCAATTTGAACTCTCAAAGAAGTATGAAGAACGATTCAGCTTCGACTCCCAAATGTGTCAATAATCCTTTGCATGTCACTCTGCATTGTCTTGTTTGCATAATGTCTTTCAATGTTAATAACGGCGATACTGTCTTAAAAATGTCTTGATGCGGCGAAGGGCGCTGAAAGACCTTTCAGCAGAGCACGAGGTTGCAGGAATTGTGGCCAGGATGGAGATAACTTTATGTAGAACAGGTAAAATGTAATGGAGACCATTTTGATGCATGGTCTTTACCATCACGGCTGCGTTTTTTCTCTGGCATGGGCCCCCGCAGTCGTAGTTTTCACTAAGAATGACTTCTCACTTGATAGCATTTCACTATCCACGCCATAGAAATTTCATAGAGTTTGGATGTTGTTGATGCTTGGAGAACGGCTGAATACGATTTCACCCAATGCGCACAAAAACCTCCAGGTCATTGCCCTCAAACCTTGATTGAAGTTCACTGACGACTTTGTCAATACATGTGTAATAAACTGTGATACAAAAGTGGTCTTTTGCCGTCTGTTGTGAGCTGTCGTTCGCTGCAGCAGGTGTCTCACCTTACTGTGTCTTTGCCCGAACGGTACATCAGTTTTTCCCGAATAATACTATTTTTTCCCGACAGGGGGTGCTGCAGCCCCCAGCCCCCCCCCCCCCGCCCCGTACGCTGATGTCCTTTAGGTAAAGTTTCAGTTTACTTGCAGACAGCGAGTTGACTTCAACCTCGTCGGACCAATTAATGTCTGGAAGTTTGTTCCTTTCCGTTGCCCATTTTTTTGCTTTCATTGCAAGGAATTTTTGGTGCTCTATGAAGTGATGACAACTATGAAACAGAAGCATGTGGCATTCCTCAGCTAGAAACTGTAGACCTAGAAACCCTCTCGCTGTTCTTAACTCAAGAACAGACCTGGCATGTCTGCGGGACCTCTTAAATGCCAAATGTTTTATTGGCAAAGCTCACAACGTGGTTTGTGACTTCTGTGCATGAATAGCCTGCGAGCAAGCTCTCCTATTTGGGCAAGCGACAGGAGAGCTTGCTAGCAGGCTAGTGCATGAACGATTGTTTCAATCTATCATATGTTGACATTCTAAATAAGTTAAAGCATGTGTTTATGTTGATGCAATATTTAGACATTATGGATAGTCAAAGGAGTTTCATCTGTCTATTTGGAAAATGTTTATTTATTCATTATCGAATTTGTGAAATTTAATTAAGACCCCCCTCAACTTACTTGAGAAATCTAATGTAGAGCCCCCTCCTTTCCATTATTTTAACTTAAGGCCCCCCCTCTGGTTTTAGGGCCCCCCTCCTGATAATTATTGCACAGTCCCTTACGTCATGGCAGCCATGTTGGTGGTCAAAAACAAAAATATTTCCTTCCTCTGGGAACTAAACTCAATTTTCATGTACACTCTTTGAAAAAAAAAAAAAAACAGAATGCCGCATTGACCACCAACATGGCCGCCATGTCACGTGGTATGCAAATCAAGAATAAACCAAATCTTACCCTTGCTTCTTAGCAGTCATCCTTACCACCCCCTGCCACTCCTCCCGGCACACCTCTCGGGCGAGCGCAAACAATACGATCAAAATGGCGGACAATATCAGTGTCGTGGATGCTCTTTCTGGCGACATCAAAAGGCCACTAGATCTCGAGAAATGCAGCAGAGGATGGGAAACACAAAGAGAACATTGTTACTGGGTTCCTACGGCAGATATTATTGGCGAAGTACCGAAAGATCTTCGTGGAACTTTGTTTCGAAATGGCCCTGGGGTACATGAAGTGTACGGTAGCCGTTTGAAACATCGTGAGTACAAAACTTTCATATTTTGACGTTAAAAACTTCCTTTGTTGTCTTGAAAAGGAAACTGAAATAGGCGTGCTGCTCATAATTGATTCTCTTTACTTGAAAGTCGTTGAGTAAGCAAAGCTAGAGGTTCAAAGGTTCAAAATGAAATCTACACAGGTTAAAGGGCTATGTCGCGCCAGTCGCTTCCTCTATTGAAAAGCTTAAATCTATCTTCTCATCAATTGAAGTTTAAAACTTATGGCTCAGTTTTGTTATTTAAGACAATGTAAAGGGGCGAAACGTTTCTGTCGTCTGTTGCTGTACGGTTGGCAAGGATGGACGTGGTCACATGGATTGAAACTTGAAAAAGTTGGGCTAATCATTCAACCTTTTTATGTCTAGTGGTATAGAATGGTCAAGAATTTGTGGGACTGCGAGACTCCAGTTTTATAATTCGAGACTGAGAATCATAAACACTTCATAGATTTCAAGATCAGCCAGTTACAGTGTTCCCTGATGAAATTTTGGTTTCAAGGTCCTTTTCGAGGTTCTTTTATTACAGAATATTGTTCTATTTACTACCGGTCTGCAGGTTACGTCATGGCAGCCATGTTGGTGGTCAAAAACAAAAATATTTCTTTCCTCTGGGAACTAAACTCAATTTTCATGTGCACTCTTTGGAAAAAAATGCCGCATTGACCACCAATATGGCCGCCATGTCGCGTGGCATGCAAATCAAGAATAAACCAAATCTTACTGATGCTGCTTAGCAGTCATCCTTACCACCCCCTGCCACTCCTCCGACACACCTCTCGGGCGAGCGCAAACAATACGATCAAAATGGCGGACAATATCAGTGTCGTGGATGCTCTTTCTAGTGACATCAAAAGGCCATTAGATCTCGAGAAATGCAGCAGAGGATGGGAAACACAAAGAGAACATTGTTACTGGGTTCCTACGGCAGATATTATCAGCGAAGTACCGAAAGATCTTCGTGGAACTTTGTTTCGAAATGGCCCTGGGGTACATGAAGTGTACGGTAGCCGTTTGAAACATCGTGAGTACAAAACTTTCATATTTTGACGGTAAAAACTTGCTTTGCTGTCTTGAAAAGGAAACTGAAATAGGCGTGCTGTTTATAATTGATTCTCTTTACTTGAAAGTCGTTGAGTAAGCAAAGCTAGATAGAGGTTCAAAGGTCAAAATGAAATATACGCAGGCTAAAGGGCTATGTCGCGCCAGTTGCTTCCTCTATTGAAAAGCTTAAATCTGTCTTCTCATCAATTGATGTTTAAAACTAATGGCGCAGTTTTGTTATTTAAGACAATGTAAAGGTGCGAAACATTTCTGTCGTCTGTTGCTGTATGGTTGGCAAGGATGGACGTGGTCACGTGGATTGAAACTTGAAAAAGTTGGGCTAATCATTCAACCTTTTTATGTCTAGTGGTATAGAATGGTCAAGAATTTGTGGGAATGCGAGACTCCAGTTTTATAATTCGAGACTTAGACTGACATGCAAAATCACCTAAAAACGAGACTTTGAGAATCATAAACACTTCATAGATTTAGAGATTGGGCCAGTTACAGTGTTCCCTGATGAGATTTTGGTTTAAGGTCTTCTTCATAACTCTACAGGAGTTTGTCTATGATAAAGGAACTAACATAAGTAATAATTTCAGTATGGAATTGGCATAAAACAGCAATATCCTCGGAAATAGTCCCTTTACCTCGAAACGCAGTCCTCAAATTTCAATGTTCTCCCTAAATTTTTGCTCAGCAGGTACAGTAAGGACCATTCATGGCCAGTGAGGCAAAAAATATTCACCAGAGACACACTTTCCTTGACGTGAGGGACATGGCCTTGCCCTTGCTGGGAAATTAATTAGTAGCCAATTAGTTCTCTGAAACATCATACACTTATTTTAAGACCTATTTTACTCAAATCGTCCGTAGTTATTTTAAGATAATAATTTAAAACATTTGATTCCAATAATCTTACTCTGTCTTCAATGTTCTCTTTCCAAAACGTGTGGCCCATTAAAAGAAAAGCTGTGAATACTTTTATAGTACTTTTCCATATGATTTATATTTATTCATTTTCCTTGTGGGAATCGGATTGGATCACAACTTCCTTATTTTAAAATCTACTTTTTTCTATTTTAGTAAACCTTCAAGTGGCTGCAGGCGATAAGAAGTGTTGCTTTGGTGGTAAATTTTACCGGTTACCGCCTGATAAGGAGATACTGAATTTCAGTTGGAATTTCTGAAAAATGACTTAACCATTTAACCTTTCATCCATAATTTTTGGGATTGTAACCTTAATCTACGCAAAATTTGTTTCTCATTATTTTCTATTAAAGCAATTGATGGAGATGGGATGCTATGTGCTGTGACATTTGAAGATGGCAGAGTGCACTTTAAGTCCAAGTTTGTGAACAGTGAACATAGACAAGAAGAAGCTGCCAAGCAGAAGTTCCTTTATCATGGACAAATGGGAACAAAACCTTCATCAACATCAACGTTTAGATACCTCATGAACACATTGAAGAATACACCAATGAAATTCCGCAATCCCTCAAACACCAATTCCTTTTACTGGGGTGGCAAGGTATGACACTTAATGGTAGTAGTAATTGACTATTCTGCGAGTGTAAAACAGTTTTTTTTTACTTCCTTACCTCGTTATAGGCGTTGACATGGGCCAAGTTTATCCTAGAAGAGTTTTTTGTGGATTCATAAAAATTAATAATGTTTCGTCTGGACTTTTTACATTTAGAGTATTTAATTTTGAGATATGAAAATGTTCACCCAGATGTCAAGTATTCATATATTCTTGATAGGTACTCCTTAAACACATAATTTTTGATGATAATTTGGGGAGAGAAAACAAAAAATCACTACCATGATGGTGGTTTGGATATTGTGCTTTTCAAACATTTTACCAATGGTTTAAAAAAATTGATCAAAATCTACCAAGGACAACCTACAGATGTGACCTTTTGAACCAGCTGAAGAGAAACTTTGTTTCTCGAGAGGCTCACTAGGGTGACTGATGGTTTGTTGAATTTTTGACTTGAGAGTTTGCACACTTTTATCTAGGGGTAAAGGGGACCAGGAGAGAAGCTCTCCTGGCCATGGGGGAGACAAGATTGAGGGGTACCAGTTGGTAGCCACCCTGGACAGTAGGAGTCCCAAACAGTCTCCAGGGGGGTGTGGCTCATATCCCCTAGTCAACCAGGAGGGGGGCCCTCCTGGGTGGAATACAGATCAGGTGGGAGAATTACCATAAAATTTTGTGAACTTTAATGCTGAATATCTTCAAGAATTGTTGTTCCTTTGAGAAGCTATAGCAAACTCCCCACTCAGAGTTTCACCTGATATCCTTGAAGTTGGTCTTTAAAAAGTTGGTTGAGCATCAATTTTTCATTCAACCAGCTTCTCAGTGTCTGGATATTGGATGTTTTGTGTTTGATGTATTACTTAACTTATATTAGTGTTATTACCTTTTGAAGAAAAGCAGATGCCGGTCCAGTTTAGTTCGGATTGGATGGTCTGGAGCAAAGGGTTGTTTATGTTAACCCAACCCTGACCCACCACTCTCCTCCACGAGTTTGTTTTTTTTACTTAACAAGATCGTAACATGCATTGTTAAGATCCTGACATCCAGCAATATTTTCCTTTACTAGGTCTTGACTTGTTATGAGACAGGGGTACCATACTGTCTGGACCCATTCACTCTAGAGACACTTGGACCAGAGAATTTGAATAGTAACTTAAAATTTGGATGTTTGGCTGCACATTTCAGAATTGATTCTGAGAAAAAGGTGAGTAACCGTTAGTTATTTTTGAGCTCGAACTTTTGGTAAGGTGTAGATGGGTGTTAACTTGTTCATAGTGCCTCTGTGGTGACTGGTTTTTGTTTCAGTGGTGTGTCAGGGTTTAGACATGTGGAAGAGTTTTTTTCAGGAAGCTCAGAGTTTCTTAAGCTAGGGGCCTGGGCATAGTGGGGGTGGATCAGGATGCAAAGAAAATCATTTTTACAGCTTGCCATTCGGGCAAGCTGAAGCTAACATTTACTAGCCCAAACAATGTCATGATTTCAACTAGCCCCCAAAACGTTTTGATGAGCAGAGTGATTTCACAGTTCTTCTGTAATTTGAATTCCTCAAAAAACTTCATAACAGAATTCACTAGCCCGATAGCAAAACCCACCAGCCCCGGGCTATCAGACACTACTTTCTTTGCACGCTGGGGTGGATACTGTCATAAATGGGCTGTTTATACAGAATGAATAAGAATGAGATTGGACAATGGCCAGATCCCAAAGGATCTCCTTTAAAGAGAATTAGTGCAAAGGAAAGTACCCCAGTGGCAGGCCCCAATAATATTACACTATAAAGATGTCTGCAAGAGGGACATGAAGGCCTGGGCATATTGACAGCAATGAATGGGAAACATTGGCTTCAGAACATTCAGCTTGGAGGCAGGCAGTGCAGCTTTAGGCCTTTCCAAGTTTCAAAAGATACTTTGCCGAGGCTGAGACAAAAAGACAAATGAGGGTGAAGGCCCAAAATCAGGGAAACAGACTAGCAACTGACCACATCTGCTCACTGTGTGGAAGGAACTGTCATTCCCAAATTGGTCTTTCCAGCCACACAAAGCTCTGTCTGAGAACCACCAATCAGAGCATGACACCATAGTCTTTTTTTTTGAAGGATTCCAGATATACATGTACGGGATAGGGTATAAAATTTAGACAGGTTTGGTCTAAAACTGCTCGGGTATCAGTTGTCAAAAATAATTTATAAGTGGCATGATCAGGAATTGATTTTCGGGTTCACTATATTGTTAATCTGGGATAAGGTAGGAATTTTGGTGTCTTTTAATCTGGTAGTTTTTTGGTGTTGTGGATAAGTGCAGTCACCAAATGACAGAGTACAAAAAATTAAAAAGACACTGACAATACTAACCTGCAGAGCAAGATGGTTTTGGTTGCTGGGTGCAAAAAGTAATAAAGGCAGGTGAGGGGAGAGAAACTGCAAGGAGATTGGGGCAGGAGCATGCTATGCCAGCTTACTACAATACCCACACCAAAACACACAAGCGAGACAACAATGATTTTCACAACAACCCCTAGCTAGTCTAGAATAGTATTTTAGCTAAACATGGACTATTATTATTTATAGCTAAAGGGATCTGGAATCCCAACCATGTACAACCACGCAATCATTATTTTTTTTTAAGAATCCCAAATGGTTAGTTAGAGAACCTTAGTATCAGTGTTTACCAACTGAGTAAAGGAATATTGTACAAGCAATGATGGGTGAATACAATATTCTTTAGTGATATATTAACTTATTGACAGCCTTTTGTTGTTCTTTCTTCAGCGGCTTGTCTGCATAAGCCTGCGTCCAGGGTTTAGAGATAAGAAACCCAGTCTAGCGATTTATGAATTTGACCCATCATGGCGGCTCTGCCATAAACAGGTCCACTACATTGAAGGTCTGAATTATGGACACGACTTTATTCTTTTACCTGACTACTACATATTTCATATGACACCATTTGTTAAAGGATCGTGGTGGATAACAACAAAAATCATAATGGGATGGAGCTCACCCGGAGAAGAGATGAGATATTACCCTGATCTGCCATCACGTTTTGTCATCATACCACGACATGCAAGTGAAGGAAATACTGGCATTATATTTGTGAATACTGATCCATGTCACGTAAGTTTTTGGCTTAACTGCAGGATACACTGCGACTTCAAAGTAACCCCTAAAAATTGGTGGATATGTTACAGAGTCAAATTTGATTTCAGGTTAATTTTGATTTAATTAAAACTAGGCTGATTCTTTCTTTTTGCACGTCTCCTAGCCCAAGAACAAACAGAAAGTGACTAAGTTGGGATTGCGAAAATTACTTGTTTCCCAAAGTGACTAAGATGGTCACAGAATAGACTGTAATAAGGTAGGGGTTCTGAGAGGCCAGCGGCACATACCGAGCAAAAATTAACCCAAGTAGCTCCCCCCCCACCCCTGGGGACATAAAATAACCAAATCTGGCCATACAGTGCTAAATTGGGTGAAAAAATCGGCAACAGACGAACAGACGTATTTCAGCAGACTCGTACCCAGTCGCTATTTATGTGTTTTGGGGTTAGGTTGAGGCGCGCGCGGGGTGGGTACGAGTCTGGTATTTCAGTCTTTTTGATTAACCCGTTCTTCCCTAAATCGCCCGTGCATTCTACAGTTTGTGACGTCATCAGTTTTAGCGATCAAGGACAACATTAATTGTCATCCTACTTGTGCAAGGGGAAGAGTTCTTTCAAACCGTACCAGAATGAGCATGATTCAGTCCAGGAGGTGGCCGAAAAAGGCAAAAAACAAACAAACAAACAAACAACATTTAACGTTGGCCGAAAACTCCTCATGCATGAAAATCTTGTTCCTCCTCCCACCTATACTTTCGTCTAGATCTAATCCTAAGATCCTAAAACGGCATTTTCTACCAAAACGAATCCTAGTAAATGCTCTGCAAAAATAAAAAAACAAAAGGAAGGCAGGAGGAGCGAAAGAAGAGGGAGGAGAGAAAGTGAAATCTCGAAATTTTGCTTTCTGCGCATTCCCGAACTTCGGATTTTTAAGAGGCTGACCTTTCCTTTACTTTCAGATTTTCCACTTTGGCACAGCTCAGCAGATTGGTGACCAGATAGACTTTACTGCAGTTTGCTTGGGCACAAAGTTTGACATGACTTTCGATAGTAAGATCTGGCTTTCCAATACCTCAGTCTCGCCAGGACTCGTTTACAACTATACCATTGACCTGACCAATGAACAGTGTACTCGAACTCAAGTTGATCGTGCCAGCGTGGAATTCCCCACTACCCACCCGTACAGAAATGGAATGACAGGCACGCGGTTTAATTACCTAATGGCGTGTGACAGACCTGGATTTAATCTTCCTTACAGGGATGTCGTGAAGGTAAGTCAGCCACTTTAGAAAAGAGAAGGCCAGGGAACTGGGCCAAGTTAAGGTTCGCAAAGACTTCTGGGATCGTTACTGTGGACAAGCCAGTCATAAGATCGTTTTCACTGTCACGCAACAAAAAAATTAATTGGAAACCGTCCAGTGGAAGAAGCCGAGAAAATGAAATGTTAGAAAAGACTAATATATAAATAATTTTTCCAAGTCTCTGGTCTTTGTTGCCGACAGTTTCTGAGTTATTTGCCGAACCGTTTCACGCACCTTTGTAGAGCTTTGTATGGAGACGCCATAATGGTGAACCGTTTTGGTGCAGCAATATGGCCGTTGGAAATCAACAAAAACATCTGGAGTTCACTTTTTCCTTAAAAGCTCTTTCTTTTCACTCGAGAACTAGCATACGTGCGCATAAACATATCCTCCAATAGGAGACTTTTTTCAACGAGGCAGCATTCCTATTTTGTGTCACGTCCTGTGAAAACTCGGAAGTTCAAATTGCTGTATTTTCGATATGAAACATGCTACGGGAATGGAAACTTGTACAAAGATTCATATTTCGTTTATCTTCAACCTAGTGTAAATAAGAATTCGTAAACCTCGCTATTTTGACTTTACAATTTGATGACGTCACTGTGAAAACCATCTATTTGCCAATTTTTTTGCTCTGTCCCCAGTAACAGTCCCAGAAGTCTTTGCGAAAGTTAACTCGGCCCAGTTTCCTTCTCGTTTCGATGGTTACTGGGGACGCGCCAGTCTGCTATTGGCCAATTTTTTTACTCGGTCCCCAGTAACAGTCCCAGAAGTCTTTGCGAAAGTTAACTCGGCCCAGTTTCCTTCTCGTTTCGATGGTTACTGGGGACGCGCCAGTCTGCTATTCGTCAATTTTTTTACTCTGTCCCCAGTGACAGTCCCGGAAGTCTTTGCGAAAGTTAACTCGGCCCAGTTTCCTTCTCGTTTCGGTCGTTACTGCGGACGCGCCAGTCTGCTAGGTTAGCGTTAGATAACATCGAGTGAAGCCAGATTGGACACCTTATGAATTTTACACAACGCATTATTTCCATAATGGAACGAGACTGGAATGTAGAATGAAGCTAGAATAGCTGAAGAAACTAAGACTATTGAGCTCCAGTTATGGAGAGAACACAGTATAGAGTTAAGCACTGATCTGCAGTGATTAGGGTTAAGCACTGAACTGAAAACGGTTAGCTTTCAAATATTCTAATGGGGTACGGCATATATAAGAACATGTATAGTTTAAAAATTACTGGATTTGGCAGCTAGTTGTCGATGGTGTAGTGGATATGGATGTAGGCTATAAAGCAAGTGACCCGGGTTCAAAGCATCACAGTGGAGTTTTTCTATGTCACTTTGATATTACACAGTAAAGTTGGACTTAAGTTGTTCTTCATGTAATTTTACTGAAAGAAACAATCTGACTTCAGCCGATGTTACCTAACGCTAACCAGTCTGCTATTGGCCAATTTTTTCGCTCTGTCCCCAGTAACAGTCCCAGACGTCTTTGCAAAAGTTAACTCGGCCCAGTTTCCTTCTCGTTCCTAAAGGTGCGATTATTTTCTTTTTCAATGTCAGAAATCCAGGGTTTTAGTAGCGAAATTGCTCGGCCTCGAAGTATTGTGTCCGTTAATGAGAGGTTTCCCCGAAATTCTCCAGACTGATCTGAATGCAATTAGTTGAGAGAATTTGATAGATCAAAGTATTTTCCCTTTGGTGATCATTTTGTTAAATGTAAGTAAGTCAATGTGATCTCTTCCTTTTTTTCATGATTTTTATGAACAAATCCAAGGCTGTGATCTTAGAAAACTTGAAGGCAGCTCAGTGCTCTGGATGTTGGAAAACAAGGGTTCCCAGCATTTGCTGTCTTTGTAAAAACTAAGATTTTCTAGTTGTCTGGTAGAGCAAAAATAGGCGCTAGGAGCCCCTTGGTGCTGCTGTTAGAGAACAGCTTTGAAATCGATCGAGTAAGGGGAAACGAAAGAGTTATAGACTTAATATTTGGGCATGGCAGCTGGCTTCGTCTGCGATAATTTTTTTTTCTTGTAGAATGTCTTTCATGTATCGGTTCACGTTTGTAGAGTAACCACACTGCCTACCTCGAAGCTTAAGCTAAATGTAGGCAGTGTGTATGTTTAATGTATTTCATTGCTTTTTAATAAAGCTGTTGTTGTTGTTGTTGTCTGTTGGCGAAGCTTTAGTAGTAACTTCGCTCTTTTCTTTCATTTTTGTAGTTGAACGCTAAAAGTGGACAGCGGGACGTATGGTATTCGCACGGTTGTCTTGGCGAACCTGTCTTCGTCCCTCGGCTTGGTTACGATTCATGGCGAGAAGGAGACGAAGATGACGGGTACGTTATCGTGCAAGTCTATGTCCCCGAAAAGCATGTGACAGAGTTCTGTGTCCTGGACGCTAAGAATGTTGGGAAGGGGCCCTTGGCGAGGATCCAGTTGAAGCACCATGTACCTTATGGTTTCCATGGCACCTTTACTCCTGAGGTGTTCACTAATGGGCCAAGGTTGGCGTCAAAGTTGTAAAAAGGAGTCTTCAAAGATTTTGCGGGAGTAGCTGAGCGTTACGAGACAAAAAGGGATTATGCAGAAGGTTACCCAGACTTTGGCTCTGGGAGCCATGCAGGGAGCGCTGCGTGTGCGTTAGAGACTTAAGTCTGAAGCGTTAATATGATTCTTATGTTATATAAAGTCTGTTGAGACGCGTATGACTGGAAAGCAAAGCTACTTCAAGTTCGCATAACTTAATAAACCATGGGGCCTTGAGCCGGTCAGGTGGGACAAAGCAACTTAAGTGAATTTTCTGCTTGCATTCCGTTCATTTTGTGTGGAATCGCTGATAATTCGACCAAAGGCTGATTGCCCCCTGTTCACTCCCAAAATTGGTCAATGTCAAAATTCTGCTAAATTTTCCAAGATTCATTCCGTAAAAGGCTGAAAAAAGGAATATCATTATATGACAGTAATGCAAAAGAGGTTTCATTTGAATGGTCACACTTTAGGATTTCATCCTCAGACTCAAAAGTTAGAACCGCCTTATGTACTACATAATAAACAGTACCACAGGAAAGTACTACTCAGTAGCGTTCATTTGAATGGTCATGCACATTACAGGTTTTCACCCACAGACTCAAAAGTCAGAACCACCTTGTAAAGCATAGTAAACAGCACCAAAATCGAAATGCTGTCCTCTCTTCCGTGGATGAAATCCAGTAGAAAAGCAGTAGAAAAAAAAACTTCAGTTGCTTACTAACAAGTTTTAGTTAAAAACCTGAGTCTGTTTATCAACTCTCCCTAACTGCATACACTGCATGAACAACTAAATTTATTAAATAATAAGTTTACCCTTATCAGTAAAAAAAAAAACGTTCGTAGAGCCCGCGTGACGTCGTGCTGGCTGCAGTCTTAGGGATTTAGATAGAACAGATCAGTACATGTTTACAATGAAATGAACCAGGGGCACCCAACGTCAATTTTCGGAAAATATCTGTTCGGAAGACGATTGGAGATCTAGAATTTTCGGAACATTTATTGTAAAATTCCTTGCTTGCCTGCCTCTCCTAGGATTTACGAACATCTAAAACATGGTATAATTGCCCATTTTTAACCGGTTTTTACCCTAAAAAGGTGACCTAGAATTTTCGGGAGCCTTTTTTCTGGCTGAAATTTTCGAAAAGGCAAGTTTTGATCCCTATAATTTTCGGATCACTAGACTTTCAGCTAAGGATTCGGAACAGATGAGAATTTTTTAGGGGATAAAAATATGCTTTTATCTACCGTTTAAATACTAAAATACGTTCAACAATGCTATGTTTGAGTGGTTTTGAACTATATTCTCGTTGGGTGCCCCTGATGAACTCTCCGACTCAATCGTTAGCCTGTTATCTTAGAATGAATAGATCGACGTTTGGCCTTAGCCCTATATGACAAAACTGAGCCATTAATTTTGGTATTCAGTTGAGGACAAGCCACGTTTTAGGTTTTTAAAAAGATAGCAAACAGCGTGGAATAGCCCTTGTAATGTAGGCTTCAGTGCAAGAAACCATGATTGCCAGCGTAAAACCGGAAAGTAGTTCGACTACGATGAATAATAAATTGATGACGTCTTGTTGCGTCTTGTTAGCATATGTCAAGCACTTACAATTGCCCCGCAGTAAAGTTTACTCCTTTATTTAATAGAAATTTTACCTTCGCGGCTTTATCAGGTGTAAGTGAAATTGATTTTGCGCGTTTACAACGCTTTGATCATAAAATATTCCGTGGATCATATAGGATAGAGGGAAAATACGATCAAGCATAGTCCGCTCCAATTAAGTCAGCAACGACGGACCTACCGCTCCTTAAAAGAAGACGAAAGAAGAAAAATCGGCTTGATAAAAGGTAACGTCAAGTAATTGACAATCGTGGTTTTATCTGCATTCAAACTGCCTTCTGATAAAAACAAAGTGCATTAACAAACACCCACTCGTCCACGTCTCGTCATCGAGTTCAGATTGGTCGATTTTCCTCCGTTTCTTCATTGACCTGTGAAACAAGCACGGTTTCGTTGGAGCGCGGCTTAGGAAATTTTGAACTCTTCTTTTCTCCTTTCTTGACCTTCCCGTTTCTCTTGCAACTTCGCCGCAAACGACATCAACTTTCGATTCTCTAACGTACTGAAACCGGAACTAGGCATGCTTTTTCTTCACACACTCCTTGTCTATCAAATTGTTTCAAAGTTTAATCGGGACGAAAGGCTGGCAACAACTTTGGTCTTTATTTGAAGGGAGACAAAGTTGTGTCACCTTTGACTAAATTAAAGCAAATACTGGCTTTACCATCCGAGACAATAAAGTAAAGATACACGTATAAATGATGGTAAAGAAATTTAGAAACGAAGTAAACGTTGGGTTAGGTACATGTACTGTGAAAAAGTGCATTGTTTCCACAGTTTCGGGCTTAGCACTTCTTAAGTGGATGTCGGAGGATCATGGTAACTAAATGTGTCCGCTACCTCGACCTAAGACCTGCGAGGACGAGTGTCAAAGGCGAGATTTCGTGCAAATTAGTAGAGATTTTTTTTAGACTCTGGGAAGAAAAAAGCTTGGCCATTGTAGCCTCCCCCAAACTGATATGTGAACACTTCCTCTGACCGACTTTCAAGAGAATCATAACCGCTCTTGAACTACAAGATATTCAGCTGGTTAACTTGCCACAAGGTTTACACCCTTTGATTTATGTGAATGATTACGCAGAAAATAAAATTGACGAGATGTTTCTTTGAAATGGCCTTCTTAAGTGCTGTGAAAAGTTTTTCAACTACCCTGTCCCAATTCGTTGTCAATATTGAATGAATCGAGCAACGATAAAAACTGAACTATCCTCACAGTGAAATTACCCATTAAAATACCAGTATTACAATAAGTCTTTAACAGCTGAAAGCGCCCGAAACACTTCTGCTATCGAATATGCATATAGTCTTAAAAATGCGTTCATGTATGAGGCTCCCCGGACCCATCCCTTAGTTGTTATATTTGCAAAATCACTTAATTAATTAAAGCATAAAAGACATTTATTGCCCAATAAAACTATGGACTCATACAATTATCTGTAGAGGACTTAATCAAAAACTCTTCAATTGCTTCCCCATGAAGACTTAAGCACTACCCAAACGCCAGGAATCAGTTTAAATACGAACGGACAAAATTCCTTATCGAGATACGCGCGACGCCGTATCGTGTACGATAGCGGTGGGAAACGCATTGTTAGATGTGCAATGTTTGACCGTGCCGCCTGCATTATCAAAATGACCATAAAGTGGGTCTTTTTCTGTGTATTTTCAATAAAATAGAGGTCTCTAAACTTCAGTTTCCGCCTTTAGGGATGAGCAGTTTATTGTGCGCATAATTATTACCAATGGTCTTTTTGTTTCGTCAAGAACTTAACCGAGAAGTAAAACTCCGCTATCTCAGTTCTTTTAATGTAGGTTAATGACTCATTCAAGCTGAGAGATAAGGAATTGCTTCCACCGTCACATCCTTTCTGGGATTAAATGTAAGATTTTTACTTTTCCACAAAACATCATGCTGGTCTCTGCCGAGATCCTGTTAAAATTGCAGTCTTGAACTTTGTCACTTTGCCGCGTATGAAAAAGACCACCTATTGACAAAAAGAGAGAACAAATTGCCGCATAAAAACGACCTTAAATGTCAAACGTTTTAGAAATTGCTGCTTTTCAATGTCAGAAGCAGGTGAAGAAGATATAAAGCAAGATTTTGATAGATATCGTCCGTCCTTGATGGTCACTTATTAGCGGCGTCGAAGTGACGGCCGGTTGTAACTTTCGATGGTTTTCCGTCATAATTGTTTTACCACTTTTGCACGCCATGCAGAGGAAATAATTACTGTCATAGTTTTATTACATGTTCAAATAAAGTGATCAAATTTGCTTACCATAAATGGAAAACTCGAGTGTTGTTAAATTGCTTCATAATAAAAAGTTCTGAGTAAATTAGTTTCTACCCAATTGATCAATCTTGCGCACTTAAAGCTAGTTTTCGTGCTGCATTACAATGGGTTCTTGAACTTGAATGGCTTACTTAAGTTGTCAATTGAAGACACAAGATGAAACTGTTAGTAAGATTAGAAAATAGAGTTTGGTTTGTCCTTAACGGAGATTTACGAGAAGTAATTCAGACTATTATTGCGGACAATAACTTCTAAATTAATTTCCCATGCGTAGGCAATCGAAAAATAAAGTGACTAACAAAGGACAAAGATTGCATACCTTATTACGTCCTGACTTCCTACTATTTAATTGCTCGTCCATTGTTTTTGTGATATGTGATTGGTTCTTTGAAAACCAAAAAAATCGATAAAGTTCCTCTGGCGTCCTTACAAAACAGTCAAAAGTTGGGAAACAGTCCATTTACACAGTTGAGCTTCGCTGGTGATATAACCACAGTGCAACTGAAAATTATAAACTATTCCAGGAAAGACGTTAGAGACCCGTTTACAGAAATGCAAGTAAGTTGAACTATCTAATGGAGTGATCTCTTGTTATTCATTGCTTTTTTTCCTTCTTTTTATTTACATCAGCATAAGAGGTTTACAAAATGCAGAAAGAAGGGAAAGAATTATTTCATATCTAAATTTTTAATTTTTCTATTTTATATCTAAATCCTTTTTTGAATGTCAAGTTTTCGTGAAAGTTTTTCTAGAGAACCTAAACCTTTTATTATTTGCGACAGCGGTTTGTAAGTGGAACGTTGACGACAATTCGTCTTTTGAAGCCAAGGAAAGTGTATTTTTTAGGTGAAAACTGAAGAAACACTCGCGTCATGTTTAAGGAGTGGCTCAGTTTCTCGACAACAGTTTTCAATCAAGAGAACCACAATTTGAAAAATTATTAAATAATAACTGAGTGAGAGTACTCGCTGCATTGAAATTACCGAAGTAAACAAATTATGCAGTTTCAAATGAAGTTTATTTTTATATCATAATGACAATCTTAATCTTACTCGCTTTGTTACGGAGCGAGTATTTTA